GGCTTTGATGCTAAAGGAGTTAAGCTAGCGGCGTTTTGTGTAAGAATTCAGCTCTGCAGCGTCTCTGTGTCTGAGACCTTTGCAGACTTTATATAACAGCAGTATGTGTTCACGGAGCTGCGCAATAAGTTTTTTTTTTTTATTAAACGGTACTTCCGCATTGACGAACACAGTAGCAGCACTTGTTTAGTCACTGCAGAATGAGAACTCAAGCTCCGGTGTCTCAGGTATGTGACAAAAGCAGCAAGAATTGAGTGTAAAAGATGTCAAACTTTAGCATATAAAGAAGCAAAACGCATGCACCCTTATGCAATAACAACATCGACAGACAGAAATATTCAACCCTGACTCTCCAAATCCTCCACAACAATAGCATTTATATGAATTGGAAAGCTGATATTTCCCAAATCCCCGTCGCAGACTTCATGTTTTCCCAGGAAGCAGCAGCAGCAGCAGCAGCAGCAGCAGCAGCAGCAGCAGGGACATGTTTGGAGTCTGGGGTTGATGTAAAGTCTAAAGAACCGTGTTGACTCATGCTATTTGCTCAGCTCTTGATATTGTATGTAGCGATTATCCAGAGACAAGAGGCCAAATGTGTGTGCACAGGTGTGTGTTAGCGGCAGGAAATCAAACAGACGCAAAGAAACAGCGTCTATTCTATCTCTGACGAATGTGGACTAAAGGAATAATCTCTGCACTGATTTTTTGAGTAATTATTGTTGTGTGTCCAAAGCATTTTTTAAGGAAGTGAGCTTTCTGCACTGAATTCTAAACACACAGAGTCAATGTGACAGTCTGGGGAGTGTTTCTGGAGTGTATTTCAATCCAGCTGCAAAATGTGTAACATTTTTGCAGTGTAGGCCTAAATTACAACAGCGGTTATCTAGGAGGAGTTTGCAAAACTGTCAATTCGCCAACACAGATTAGAGAATCAAAGGAAACGCTACAACAAAAAACACCTAGAGCTATTAGTCCATAAGAGGTGGATGAACAATGTCCATAAATGTGGTTGAATGTCGAGTGTCCTTGATCATCAAAGTCTTTGAGACTTACTTATTCCCACATATTTCTGGTTTGTGACCAGAAAGAGAGACAAGAGAGAGACCGAAAGAGACAAGAGGGAAAGAGATAAGAAAGGAACCAGAGAGAGACCAGAGAGAGGCTAAAGAGATAAGAGAGAGACCAGAGAGATAAGAGAGAGAAAGACAAGAGAGAGGAACCAGACACAAGATACTATATATCCATCCGCTTGTATCTCATCACAATGCTGTGTTATAATTATAGGGCTGTCAAAATGATTCCGTTAACGTACTTTAATTAATTTTTTTCATTACTCGTGTTAAAAAAATTAACGCATTGACACATTTACAAAATGACCCGCCCATGCGTCCCATAATATCACTCAGAATGCCGTGGACACATGCGTGTGTGATGGCAACAGAGCAGGTAGGCCCTAAGTTGTCGAGCACGTTGTTTGCTGTACTGTGTGTACGGATCGGGAGTTTGCATCCTCTGTGGCTGTAGCGTTCTGACCCGGGGCAGCTGCAGCCGCTCTGGACAGTGGTCCCCACCTCCAGCGGCTGTGGCTTTGACAACAACACGGCAAACGGCACCACCGTAACGTCACGCGCACAGGACTATCCTCTACTTGTTGTGTGCGTGTCTTTGCGTAACCTGTTCGTAACCTGTGCATACAACAAATACACCTCTGACGTTGGACTACGGAGCCTCAGTCTCCTCTGTGTCTTCTCCTGAAGCGCTCTCGCTAAATTAAAGCTGGGGTACTTGATTTTTCCCTTCCACGACCAGCTCATGTCGGTTGTGCCCAAAAGTAAAATGTTGTGAAATAATCAAACAGATGTAACGACATTCTTCCTCAGACTGCTTTAAATGTCCCCCATCTGTAACAAACAATAGTTTTGGTCTGAGTCTAAACAGCAAGACAGAATGAAAATAATGTTAATGCCATTTTCTGTGGATGTATTGTTATAATAAACAAATACTGTACATACTGTATGTCATTTATCTTTCCATTCAAACAAACATTTACAGAAAAATATGGCATCATTTTGTCAATAGTTAGAAATGCGATTAATTACTCTTAATTTGTAAGCTGTAAATCCCTCAAATTAACATTTTAATCATTTGAAAGTCGGAGTTATAATACAATTTAACGTCTATTTTCTTACATTTGCAGACGGCTAAAGCGTCCGAGGCCGAAGTCTTTGCCAGAGAAACTCTTCCCCTTTTAGTGGGAGCACTTTCCTGTAAAGCTTTGACAACGGGACCCGGCCGCTCGTGCTGACTCCAGGGAAAATAAAACAGAAAACCTTTTGGATTCGCTACAAAAGTCTGACATGCACTTTTAACATTATACAAGAAAAATATAGTTTTTTGGGGGCAGGCGAGTTCAGAGTTTTTAGGTCAGTCATTGGAAGTTCGAGTGCTTATGTTGCGTCGGTGTTTAGTTGATAAATGAGAGTTATAAAACAAAGTAGATGGAAGAAAGTCTGAAAAATTTAAGACATTTAGCGGAGGTAAAACCAGCCTCCGTCTTGGATCTACAGCCTCAGTCCTGGATCTATAGCCTCAGTCCTGGATCTATAGCCTCAGTCCTGGATCTATAGCCTCAGTCCTGGATCTACAGCCTCAGTCCTGGGTCTACAGCCTAGGTCCTGGATCTACAGCCTCAGTCCTGGATCTACAGCCTCAGTCCTGGGTCTACAGCCTCAGTCCTGGATCTACAGCCTCAGTCCTGGATCTACAGCCTCAGTCCTGGATCTACAGCCTCAGTCCTGGATCTACAGCCTCAGTCCTGGATCTACAGCCTCAGTCCTGGATCTACAGCCTGTCTGTCAAATGTTTCCTCACTTGTTTCCCATTATTTTTTGTTGCTGTTGGTCCTTGCTGAATATACAAGTCCTCCAAGACGACTGCTGTTGAGATTTGTCATTGAATTGAGATGATGTCGCATGTTGTGGCCCCTTCAGATTTCTACAGCTGAGTATTTTGTGCGTATTGTAAACAGACGACTGCTTCTGACATAATCCAGCTCCGAGTCGTGGCCTTGTTCACATGGAACTCTTCTCTGCACAACATTGTTATCTAACCTTGGCTCCTGCGACTGCAAATCCATAATCTCTCTCTTACTACCTTTCCCCGCCCTCTGCCACTTAATCCACACGACTCCTCTCAAAATTAAAACAAGGGACGAGCAGAGAGAGAGCGAGAGAGAGAGAGAGAGAAAAAGAGAGAGAGACTGAGATTTTGGAAAAGAATGGACGGACAAAAATTTTAGAACTGGTTTAGTTGATGCGGATTATGGGACGAAACACAAATGGATTAAAGGACTTAGGAAGGAAATGGTACAAGGGAAAGGAAAGATGAGAGTCAGGGGGGTCTCAGGTGAACTGGACAGGCCACACACACACACACACACACACATACACGTACACACAAAGGCGCACACACATGTACGCACACATACACAGAGATCACACACACACACACAGATATATATAGATGTACTTATGTCTCACTAAAACTATTCCGAAAAATACGATGTCTGTATCTGTGTACCTGTGTGTGTGTGTGTGTGTTTGTGTGTCTTGAATGAGTGTGAGGGATTGGAGTCAAATAAGTGTTTACTCAGTCAAACCTCTAAATACAAGTTCGAAACTACAAAATGTTTATCTTTTACCATCAAACTGCATTACAACCATTTGCTAGAAACCAATGATAAAAAAAAAACTAGCGGTAAAAAAAAAAAAAAAAAAAAAAAAACGTACAACATTTTTTATAATGAAAGCAAAGTCCTTCTAATCAAAGTGCATTATAAGGAAAATCAACCAGGCGCAAAGTATTTCGAATCTTCTCACGTTATTTTCTTTTCACATTATTTTGCCCAATTACGTGATGTTGGATTTTTTTGCAAGGCACAAAAAACAACATCTCAAGGCACACAAATGTACCATGGCACACTGGTTGAAAAACATTGCCTTGGATCATTAAAAAAAGAAAATTAAAAAGTCTTACAGATACACACCACCAGCCAGTCTCCTTACATAGAAGTCTCTCAGACGTACCACCAGACAACTTTTGCTCTATCTGCCAGTGAATAAAATCCTCTTGATGGGTTTGTCGGTCCGGAGCAGTGCTGAGTTCAAGGACGGTGGGACAGACGGGCGTCGCTGGTTTACTGTTTATCGATCGCTCTGGGCAGTGTCACGCGGGTCATAGATAAGTTAGCCGCATGTCCACGCTATCTGCACAGCACTTTTTCTCCACTCAAGAGCAAACGTAGCTAAGGGACATGTTTGCGAGACCGTGAGCGCACCAGGAAGAGGGAGGAAATATGGTCCGGTGTCGTAGCCCCGATGTCAGCTCGCAATTATCAATGAGAATCCAATCTGGTGTCGAGCCTGAGATAGGATGACAAGAAACTGGAGCAAAACTGGTGCTAATACATTGGTTTTTTTCACTATTTACAGTCAGAGTAGTTTGGATGTAGCCTGGTCTTACCACACCACCATACTCATTTCATTTTCTCCATTGACTCAGTTAACAGGTGGGAGGGGCTAACTCCTTTTGCAGATATAAACCATTGGATCTACCGTGAAGTGTGTAATGCGCCTGAGTGAGTGAGGCATTTAGCATTTAGCCTAGCTTTAGCATTTAGCATAGCTTTAGCCATCTCCTTTGCCACTAACGGAGTCTGTGGGAAGTAGGGCCACAACATCTTTGCCAGAAATTAAATTAGCTAAACATTCCTCTTGCTCCGGCTTCAATTTCTTGATATTTGGAGACGAAACAGAACAGATTAATTTACTATTGCATTCTTTGTCAAACTACAACCTGCCAATTCAGCGCCTCCCCCGCTCTCTGATTGGTCGGAGGTGATTCAACCGAAGAAACTGCAGCCACTAGGATCAGAGCTAGACGTACAAGTAAGAAATGATAATTGTACTTTAGTGTCCGGCCATGGGTCCATAAAGGAGGTCCTATATGTGGTCCTGGGTGTGGTCCTGGATGCGGTCCTGGATGCGGTCCTGGATGCGGTCCTGGATGCGGTCCTGGATGCGGTCCTGGATGCGGTCCTGGATGCGGTCCTGGATGCGGTCCTGGATGCGGTCCTGGATGCGGTCCTGGATGAGATCCTGGATGCGGTCCTGGATGCGGTCCTGGATGCGGTCCTGGATGAGATCCTGGATGCGGTCCTGGATGCAGTCCTGGATGCGGTCCTGGATGAGATCCTGGATGCGGTCCTGGATGCGGTCCTGGATGCGGTCCTGGATGCGGTCCTGGGTGTAGGCCTGGATGTGATCCTGGATGTGGTCCTGGATGAGATCCTGGATGCGGTCCTGGATGCGGCCCTGGATGCGGTCCTGGGTGTAGTCCTGGATGTGGTCCTGGATGTGGTCCTGGATGAGATCCTGGATGCGGTCCTGGATGCGGTCCTGGATGCAGTCCTGGATGCGGTCCTGGGTGCAGTCCTGGATGCGGTCCTGGATGAGATCCTGGATGCGGTCCTGGGTGTAGTCCTGGATGCGGTCCTGGATGTGGTCCTGGATGAGATCCTGGATGCGGTCCTGGATGCGGCCCTGGATGCGGCCCTGGATGCGGCCCTGGATGCGGCCCTGGATGCGGCCCTGGATGCGGCCCTGGATGCGGCCCTGGATGCGGTACTGGGTGTGGTCCTGGATGAGATCCTGGATGCGGTCCTGGATGCGGCCCTGGATGTGGCCCTGGATGCGGTCCTGGATGTGGTCCTGGATGTGGTCCTGGATGAGATCCTGGATGCGGTCCTGGATGCGGTCCTGGATGCGGTCCTGGATGCGGCCCTGGATGCGGCCCTGGATGCGGCCCTGGATGCGGGCCTGGATGCGGCCCTGGATGCGGCCCTGGATGCGGCCCTGGATGCGGCCCTGGATGCGGCCCTGGATGCGGCCCTGGATGCGGCCCTGGATGCGGTCCTGGATGCGGCCCTGGATGCGGCCCTGGATGCGGCCCTGGATGCGGCCCTGGATGCGGCCCTGGATGTGGTCCTGGATGCGGTCCTGCTGCTGTGACCTGCAGAGATCAGTATTCGGCGATGGCTCCGTCTTCACACACACTCCCACACACGCATGTCTCTGTCACTGGAGCATTTAGATGTGAGGAGGTCCTGTTACTGTGACACCGAAACATGTCTTCGAGAGCTGCCACCACATCCATAAACATGAGGTCAGGCCCTGGATGCGGTCCTGGATGCGGTCCTGGATGCGGTCCTGGATGCAGTCCTGGATGCGGTCCTGGGTGCAGTCCTGGATGCGGTCCTGGATGAGATCCTGGATGCGGTCCTGGGTGTAGTCCTGGATGCGGTCCTGGATGTGGTCCTGGATGAGATCCTGGATGCGGTCCTGGATGCGGCCCTGGATGCGGCCCTGGATGCGGCCCTGGATGCGGCCCTGGATGCGGCCCTGGATGCGGCCCTGGATGCGGTACTGGGTGTGGTCCTGGATGAGATCCTGGATGCGGTCCTGGATGCGGCCCTGGATGTGGCCCTGGATGCGGTCCTGGATGCGGTCCTGGATGCGGCCCTGGATGCGGCCCTGGATGCGGCCCTGGATGCGGTCCTGGATGCGGCCCTGGATGCGGCCCTGGATGCGGTCCTGGATGCGGCCCTGGATGCGGCCCTGGATGCGGTCCTGGATGCGGCCCTGGATGTGGCCCTGGATGTGGCCCTGGATGCGGTCCTGGATGCGGTCCTGGATGCGGTCCTGGATGTGGTCCTGGATGAGATCCTGGATGCGGTCCTGGATGCGGTCCTGGATGCGGTCCTGGATGCGGTCCTGGATGTGGTCCTGGATGTGGTCCTGGATGAGATCCTGGATGCGGTCCTGGATGCGGTCCTGGATGCGGCCCTGGATGCGGCCCTGGATGCGGCCCTGGATGCGGCCCTGGATGCGGCCCTGGATGCGGCCCTGGATGCGGCCCTGGATGCGGCCCTGGATGCGGCCCTGGATGCGGCCCTGGATGCGGCCCTGGATGCGGCCCTGGATGCGGCCCTGGATGCGGCCCTGGATGCGGCCCTGGATGCGGCCCTGGATGCGGCCCTGGATGCGGCCCTGGATGTGGTCCTGGATGCGGTCCTGCTACTGTGACCTGCAGAGATCAGTATTCGGCGATGGCTCCGTCTTCACACACACTCCCACACACGCATGTCTCTGTCACTGGAGCATTTAGATGTGAGGAGGTCCTGTTACTGTGACACCGAAACATGTCTTCGAGAGCTGCCACCACATCCATAAACATGAGGTCAGGCCCCGAACGTCACACACACATAACACACACACAGCACACACGCAGCACACACGCACACCACACACACGGCTGTAATAATAACACAACACAACATGGAAGCACATACAGCAAATAACTGCAACTGTATTCAAGTGTATATGGGAAATGATAGTGACATAGGAACCAACTGGGACCAGAGAGAGAGACCAGAGAGAGACCAGAGAGAGACCAGAGAGAGAGACCAGAGAGAGACCAGAGAGAGGCCAGAGAGAGACCAGAGAGAGACCAGAGAGAGAGACCAGAGAGAGACCAAAGAGAGACCAAAGAGAGACAAGAGAGAGACCAGAGAAAGGCCAGAGAGGCCAGAGAGACCGGAGAGATACAAGAGAGAGACCAGAGAGAGACCAGAGAGAGACCAGAGAGAGATCAGAGAGAGACCAAAGAGAGGCCAGAGAGAGATCAGAGAGAGACCAGAGAAAGGCCAGAGAGAGACCAAAGAGTGAGACGAGGGAAAAACTAGGGAGAGGCCAAAGAGAGACCAGATAAGATAAGATAAGATAAACCTTTATTAGTCTCACAGTGGAGAAATTTCAGTGTCATCGTTGCTCACATTACAGCAGAGAAAGGAAATAAGAGCACTCAGATTGCACACATCAAATAGTCTATTATTTAAGGTAAAATAAAATTAAGATAAGAATAAAATAAAATGAGATAAACTCTGGGCTAGAGAGAGACCAGAGAGAGAGACCAGAGAGAGACCAGAGAGAGGCCAGAGAGACCGGAGAGATACAAGAGAGAGACCAGAGAGAGACCAGGGAGAGACCAGAGAGAGACCAGAGAGAGGCCAGAGAGAGACCAGAGAGAGACCAGAGAGAGACCAAAGAGAGAGACCAGAGTGAGACCAGAGAGAGACCAGAGAGAGACCAGAGAGAGACCAGAGAGAGACCAGAGAGAGAGAGACCAGAGTGAGACCAGAATGAGACCAGAGAGTGAGACCAAAGAACAGCAGTTAGCATTTAGCCTTAGTCATATTTCACATGACAGTGGCTCAGTTGGTAGAGCAGACCAAGGACCAGAAGGTTGTGGGTTTGAGCCCACCGCAAGACCGACTTCACCACTCCAACTGATGTCTGCTGTCATTGTGTCCTCTGGCAAGACACTTAACCGCACTCTGCCTAAAGCCCCCACTGAAAGATCTCAGCTGCTGTGGACCTGCAGGAGGATCAGTGAGGGGCTGGTGCTGTGGACTGGGTGCAGCCCGGACTGCCACCCCCCCTGATCCAGGATCTAGGATTAAGGGGAAGAAACTGGATGGATGGATAGAATACAATCTGGGAGTCTTAGTGTCAAAGTTGGGTAAAAGAGTACAGTAAAAAATGTATAATATAGTATTTCTGAATAAGGGCTGGGAAAAGTTGAGAGTAATTTCTTAAAACTTACTTCATAAAAACACATATATGAAGTTGTGTTTTCATTGAAATAACATATGGCGACGTGGACCAGCCTCCTCTGTGGCTCCGTGTCGCCTTGTGTGGATTTCTATTAAAATTAACCTCCTTCCCACCGGCATCTGCTCAGCGGCTGCAGCTGAAACTCGAGGTGACCCGAGCGAGGCAGGACAGGCTTCGGAGACACAGACGAGTAAGGAAGAGGAGGAGGAAGAGGAGGAGAGAGGAGAGAGAGGAGGAAGAAGGGGGAGTGAGGCGGTAAAGGTCCAGTTGCCAACAATAGAGCCATTGATGCAGCGGGTCCCAGGCATCTCTCTCCTCTCTCTGTCTCACTCTCTCTATCTCTCTCTGTCTCTGTCTCACTCTCTCTATCTCTCTCTGTCTCTGTTTCTCTCTCTCCTCTCTGTCTCACTCTCTCTATCTCTCTCTGTCTCTGTCTCTCTCTCTCCTCTCTGTCTCACTCTCTCTATCTCTCTCTGTCTCACTCTCTCTTTCTCTCTCTGTCTCTCTCTCTCCTCTGTCTCTCTCTCCTCTCTGTCTCTCTCTCTGTCTCTCTCTCTGTCTCTCTCTCTCTCTCTGTCTCTCTCTCTGTCTCTCTGTCTCTCTCTCTGTCTCTCTCCTCTCTCGTTGTGTCTGTCTCTCTATACTACCAAAGCCTTTGTTTTTTTCATCTCTTTTATTAGTTCATTTGACAGGGACATTGAGCATCAAGGCTTTTTCATGTGTAGTCCCCCAGACACATGATAATTCGAAGTGAATTAACAGATGAATCAAAGATATGGGAGGATATTCCCAAATGTTAGGGAAGAACCGCCTTCTCTTTTGACGAGCATGTATCACAAGAATGATTAACACTTGGGAGGACCAATAGTCTTAATGATCCACCTGGACGTAGAAAATCCTCCTGTATACCTTTAAGAGTGAGTTAAACTGACTTGTTGATGTTGACGATGACATTAATGTAGTCTCCAACCCTCTTAGAATCAAAGACTGAGATGACTAAAAGAGACATGTTTCACTAAACCTTTCTCTACAACTGTCTCTGATCCTAAATATGTTCAAATATGAACCGACTGAATAACATTGTTTTTTCCACTCATTATTTTTAAGTGAAACGTTGGAGACAAACAACTAGAACTGTCAAGGATCAAAATAATATTTTGTAACTTGTTTTAATGATAAACATCCACTGGAGGCTATTATTGTTTAAATGGTGTCAAAAGCCACATTAAAAAAACTGTGTATGTCTGTGTATGTGTGTACATATGTGT